ATGATCAAATTTAATCTAATATTATCTGCGACTAATGATTAACAAATTTTAATTGTGAATTATGAGCTAAATTGTAATTTTCTTTTACTGTAATTAGATTTAATTGCAATATTATTGTTTAGCAAGAAATGGTTCATGATATGCTAACATGATGAGAGAAGCAATTTGAGGAAAAATTAACTGAATCAAAGATGATAATGGTTTAGGAAATGATGATTACCATGAAAATGAATATCATGTAATCATCATTTAAATGGTAAATAATAATAATACAAACAATTGATTGAATAATTATCGTCATTAACCTTAATGGGTCCATAAAGTTTTCTAAATTGTTTAATAAGGTAGAAAAAATTGAGAAAAAAATGAGTAAAAAAAGTTCTGATGTGATTCATTTTTTATCTCCCATCACATGTATCATGAAAATGATGATGTAAAGACAACTTTGAATGAAAGTTTTGTGTTCATGAGTTGAATCAACACAAGAATTAGCATCACAATTGTTAAGAATCAATGATCCATTATAAAAGTTTTTCATTCACTCGAAACTTTTACAATTACCATGAACTTATCATAGTGAAAAATAATAGACTAGAAATTTGGTTTATGTCATGATGATTTTGATTCTTTGATTGTTTTGTATTATTTTTCAGAAATGTAAGCAATAAAAAGATACATTGAAATCATTGATTTTCGCCTGACTCTCTCTCTCTCTCTCTCTCTCTCTCTCTCTCTCTCTCTCTCTCGTTCTCATACTCACTTCCTCTCTGAGCATTTCCAAGAATTTATGATGATCATCATGATGATGGTTAATTTCTGATTCATTTTTCATAGTTTAAACTTTTTACTGTTCCAAACTTTTTCTGGCTCAAAGTCTTGAAATAATAATCATGAATTTTAGTGTTAGAAGTTAATAAAAAATGGACAGTGTCCAATATAATAATATGACAGTAGTATTATTGTAATAGATGAAAGGAAATAGTTGTTGCAACAGAAACCATGATAATAATGGACGCTTTTGATTATCTCACAAGCCTGATGATAACAATGAGATGGTCATACAATATTTATGAATAAAAAGATTTAACAAAAAGTTATCAACATTACTAGAGTTATACATATATTGATTAGCTTAATGAATACTGATTTAACCATTGATTTATACATAATTCGATAGATCAACTTTTGATAATATTGTACCATAATGACATGATGATAGTTCATATAATGATGATGAAATAATGAAACTATACATGAGTTATCATTATGACAATTGACAAATGAAGTTTGACAGAATCAATACAATATCGACTTATCATTGTTAATACATGTTTATATTGAATATTATGTTCAATTTTAATCAATCTAGTTCATTCAATCATGTTATGATGTAATACTATGTTTAAAAATTTTCTTTTTTTTCGATCAATGATTTTTTTTGCCTTGACCATTACCACCGCCTCCATCCTCTTGATGTTTGATATAACAATGTATATGTGCCATGTGAGACCAGTGAAATGACCAGTGACCATTGAAGGAAATGTTGTCACAAAAGGATTTGTCTTTTTTATCCTTGAATAAATAAAATGTTACATCTCAATACTTTCATTCAACTTTTGAGGACGAAAATTTTAACTGGACATTGAAATTGTCAAGGTAGAGAGAGAGAGAGAGAGAGAGAGAGAGAGCTAGTAAAAAATCTCGAATATTCAACTCTAATCAGAATACCGTAAGGAGTATTGATTTTCATCTCAATGACAATCTGGACATTGGCTCATCTTACTGACCATTCACTTGACCAAGTGAATGATTGCCATGAAAACCATTCTAATTCAAATCTTGCAGAGTTTTGAATAACGATGAAAACAATATCACCTTATAAAACAAAGTTCTGATTAGGAGTTAGTCAACTTTTTTGATTTCTTCTTGAACTTTTGGTGGCTCCTCATGAATGTTATTTCTGCTGAACAGTGAATATTAGATGATAGATTTTGGATGTTCCTTGGATAAGGAAAAATGATGGATCACAAGAGCATTAAATAGATTCATATTTAACACCCAACAATAAACCCCTCACATGGTAAAGAGTGATGGTCAAGCAATATTATCATCGAAAGAAAAAAAAATTGTTACCTCATCTTCATCTTTTTTTCTTGCTTTTTTCATTGTTACTCTTTTACTCTCTTGAGTAAACTTATCTTAAGTTATCATTCCTTGTATTTGCTCCTTCATCTTTCTCCCTCATTTCATCATCATCATCTTTATCCTCTTCTACATCCTCATCTTTATCATCATCTTCTTGTCATAACTTTCTTTCCTTCATCTCAATTTATGACATTTATCAAGCTCAAGTTTCACCCAAACCTAAATGCTGCCGTTTGCAATAATAACAAATAATGAAAATACTCATCTCGAATCTCTAACACCTCATTCCCTTCCTATCATCAGCATCATCATGATCATTGAGCTCATAATTTCAAGAAATAAAAGAAAAGTTCAGTTCTCTAAAATGTGAAGTTTTCTTTTTATTTTATTTCATTCAGATGATGAAGATACTCTGCATTTCAGTTCTAATAAAAATCACGATATTTCATGAGATTATCTATAATAATCCATTGCACTCATGTACACTTTGAAATGTTTTCCGAATCTGCGATACTTTAAATAGAAAATGATAGTTATTTTCTTGGTAATCACATAATCATGATAACCAGAATTCTGAAATCATATCAAATAACAAGCAGTTTTTTTCAACGCATTGAATATGTATCATGATAGATTATTAATTCTTTAATGTTATAATTGGTTAAAGATTTGTTTCCTACTCCTAATGATAATTCATTGTTCAGAATGTTTCAACTTGAGGGTGATATTCATGAATGAACTTTTCAATTTGAGGAAAAAAAACTTTTTAAATGCTTTTAAATGAAACTTAAACCTTTTGCAAATTCAAAGTTATCATGAATATGATGATTAATTGAAACCGGTGAAAGATTTGCATGAAATGTTCAGTTTTTTTCATAATAAAATACCATTCATGTATTTATACCTTCAATGTATCATGAGAAAAAAAACTTAAAATATTTTTTTTCACTTCTATTGTATCCTCATCATTTTGTTATCATTCTGTTATTTTTATTCTGAATTTTATCTCATAAACTCTGATGAATTGTTCCATGATGAATCTTTATTGTTGAGATACATACGAATTCTGGAAGAAAGAAATTCAGATCAAAAGTATAATGATGATTCCAACATTGGTTCAATGGGTGAAAAGATATTCAGCTCATCAATAATCATGTGTTATCCTACGGAAGACAAAAGGGAGGCGAATGTGAGGCTTAAGGAGTAGATGGAGAGAACGAGAGAGAGAGAGAGAGAGAGAGAGATAAAAGTTATCATAAATGATTCTGATGTGAGGAGATAAAAGATAAATATTATGTCAGAATGTGAGGTCAGGAATGGAAAGGGATTGTTTCAGTAACTCTGTTCATGGAAAACCATAGATTCCAATTCAGTGAAATCAGATAAATATTCACATATGTCTTATATTTGTATATATGTTACTATTATGGTGACTATTTTTGCTCCCATCGAAAAGTGTTCATCATGAACTGAATTCATTCCTTATCCTTATCTTCATCATCTTCCCTTTGATTTATGACCATTGTTTGTTTCTCTGTCTATGCCTCTATCATCATCATCATCATAACCATTACCACCCTCTCAGTGTAAAGCATTTCTTTGTTTTTTAGCATTTCCACCACCGCCATTATCTTAATGGATTTAGTTCATTTAAATCAATATAATGTGTTGATGATAATGATAACCTTAATCAGCCTTTGTATTATCATCAAACTTTCAAGGTATATAAAATTCATCTGAACTTTTCTCTTCTTCCTTGTGATATTATCACGTTAGAGGATTGATAAATTCAAGGGAAAGAAAACATTTACATGGAAGAGAGAGAGAGAGAGAGAGAGAGAGAGAGATAATCATGTAGGAGTGGATAATGTGAACTGATAATATAAGTGAGCATTATTATTATTGGGTAATAGTGTTAATAATAAGCCAAAGGTGCTGAAAGGTTTTAATCATTGTTTATATTGGATTAGATTTGGAAATGTTTAGTGGATGAACACAAAGTTTCAATTGGGATAAATGAATGAGAGAGGGAAAAGGAAGATAATGATGATGATGATGAAGATAACAAGAAGGCTGAAGATTATTAGCTTTTCATTTCTATTAAAAGTAGTATTTTCCTCTGAAAAAAACATCCTACTCATCATCATCATTATCATTATGATCTTTCATTTGAGTTATTACTTACAGAGAAAATGTTTTCCATTGAGTTGATTGAGTGCTGGTCAGTTCTTTGGCATATTAAGATTCTCATTAGCTGAATATTGGAATTTTTTTTATAATTAGTGATAACATTTTTTTCTGTTATTTGGTCAAGTGTTTGATTGATTTCTACTCATTTTGGTTTGCATCTTTTTTTTTCATCAACTGTCAATATGAATCAATGATCAATGACCCATGGGTTGGACAAAAACGTATTCATCATCATGGATACTCAATGATAATAGTATCAGAATGATAATGATCGTTATCATTGATAATACCATTGATATTTCATTAATATTGTGTAAAAGTTTCGTGACTTTCATGATGCAATAATTGTTTACATGACGATGATGATGATGATTAGTGAGAATAGGAAATAAAAAGGAAAACAATTCATTATTATCATGAATAAAAATATCAATAGTATTTCAATTAGACTCTAGAGATGGTCAGTTATCATTCATTATCGTTTCTTATTGTTTATCTTACCGATAACGAGTAATATCATAATCATAATCAATTATTATCTTTCTACAATCGTTTGATTGTTTACAGAAGTAAAAACATTCACCTTAATCATCTAATCAACTTTTTTCTCATCTTCTTTTTGTCTAATGGTCAATTTTATGGGGATATGAACGGACTTCGATCAGATATTTTGCCGGAAGTCATTTCACCAAGTGCAGTACTGTTGATGCCTTTTTCGGGGAAGATCATCGATCTCGATTGACACATGATAACATCACCAAAACAGGTAAGTTCATCGATTGATCCAGTGATCCAAAGTTCTGAGCCTTCAAATGAATTTTATTTGGTTAATCATTTCATAGACAACAGGTAGCACGTTTAATTAAAGTCTATGGCTAATAATTTACATGTGATATTATCAAGGTGGAAATTGAGTAAAGAAATGAAATTAATGGTTGAAATTTCATGATAATTTTCATTGAATTTGTAAATAGGTTATTTGTTGAGTTTTTCGTGAAGGACTTGAATTGGAAAATGAACTTTTTGTCTATCTACTTTCTCCTCCATCGACCATGGAATCAGAATCAGAGAAAAGAAAATTAATTGAACTTTTGTGATACTCTATTAATCTATTATCTGTTTATTGTATTGTGATATTAATGAAGATGAGATTGGAAAGAAAAAAAGATAGAAAAAGGAATGGTCATCTTTAGATGGTCAAGATTCAGTCAAACGAGTGATAAAATTGGATGATGACAAAGATGATGATAAACTCCATTAAGCTTCTTATGGATTCTTTGTTGGTTAAGGTAAGAAAATAGGGAAAAGGTTAAGATTAAGAGTAAGTAGGTAAAAATTTATCTTCTTTTATCTTCATTCTCTCATCATCATCTCCTTGTTTTGTCTTCTTCTTCTTCTCCATCACCATCTCTCTTTCTGGTCATCTTTAACATTCTATCAATCTCCAAACAAGATGAAGATAAAAAGTTCTGAGCCACAGATTGGTCTTATTTCTGATTATCTATTAATATGAAACAAAACAAAACCTAATCGCTTATATTTCAGGGAAGAGATTGAGTTCTGAGGCTGTTTATCTGTTCTGCTTTTTTCCCACCTAAAACAAGTTCCCACCTTGTCTTCCTCTTCCTTTAATCCTCTAATATCTTTATCATTATCAGCTTCAGCTCATCTTAATAGATAATCTAATCTGCATCTAACCAAATTTCTTATCCATGACTTACCGAGTGTTCCCTGAATTTTCAGAGATGAACAATGATTTCATGAGAAGAGAATAATCAAAGTCAAAGGTTCATTCAGATTCTAAAAATAAATGTCATCTATTATTCACCCTGAATATCAATGTTATGTTGACACTAAGAATTCTGGAAATGAAATACCCCTGAAATAGATTCAATGGAATGAAAACTGAATGAGTAGTTAATAATCTTGTTGGATATAAGCAGACAAAAGAAACTAATCTTAAAATTCAACAAACACTGAATGATGAAATTTATCTAGACTCAGAAATTTTTTATTCTCTTTCTAAAGTTAAAGTCTTCAGATCAATAAGAAAATAACAGGGGAGAAATAGAAACGTTAAATTTTAGAGAATAAAAATTTTTTATTCTTTTTTCAGCCAATAATCAATGTCTAATCGATTATCTGAATATTACCCATTGAACTTTCACCACTCAGTTTGCTTATAATGATTGGAGTTCATCATCAAGTGTCAATTCATGTAACTTCATGGAGAAACAAGGATAAGAAACTGAAAATTCCTGAAATTCATTGACTCAAATGTTTCATGTTTGCTTTATTTTTTTACTACGAAGTGACAAGATCTCTCTCTCTCTCTCTCTCTCTCTCTCTCTCTCTCAAGAACCATGGTAACATTATTTTTCCAAAGTTTTGAATGATTTCTAATAAGTTCATGAGACTCTGAGTGTGGGTGATGAATTAAAACGCTAATGATCTAACGAAGAGGAAAATAGCAACGACCAATTGATTGATTAAGAATTCAAAGTTTCTCATGATTCTGTCTGAATTCATTTTCATGATTATCGATGTAATTTACCGATCAACTAATTTACTTTGCTAATGGTTCCATTAAGCTTACAGCTAATAATTGGCATGAATTTACAGCAAAAAAAGTATCCTAGCAACATGAAATTCCCTGAATAAAGTAAATAATATAAACTAATAACAACACTGATTTAATGTTTGTTATCATTTGAATGGATCCACCAGATATGAGATAATATTGAATAATGAATTTTAACACCATGAACCGATAAACTTACTTTGAAATTTCATCGTTAACCAGGTAATAGATTTAAATGAAAGGTGACTGAAAAATAGAAGGAAAAAATTTTGCAAAAATAAGTTCTGACTGAAAAAAGTATCAGAATAGAAATTCAGTAAATCGGATAAAAGTGTGATTCTTCGTGCACTGAATTTGATGATGATAGAAATGAAGATGGATCATCTATTAGATAGGAAGTGGAAATAATAATAATCATATAAGGTAACTGATGATTTTGAAGTAAAATTCATGGTGTAATTGAGTAGTAGAGATCACCAATGGATGAGATAAGGTTACCTTTTCAGTTGAAACTGAGTTTTTATCTCTCAAAATGAGTCATCATGAACTAACCATTGGAATCCATGTAGACACCTTCATGATCACCAAGACTTTATTACAATTAAAATTACCGGTTTATGATTGTAGTCAATGGTGACGTTGGTCATCAAAGGGAGCAGAGTATAAATAGAGTGAAACAATTAGTTGATTGTGCTCACTTTCGTCACGTCTGTTTGTTAATTGTCACCCTAACGTCTTTAGCTTTTGACCTTTTCAAGGGTATTCAGTTACTTCCGTTTCCTCTTAATCTCACAACAATAAGATCATCGACTTTAAAGTGATGTCCAGTTTTCACTCTTCAGCTCTCCTAATTCTCCATGAAATGTTACCATGGTTTCGTTTTTTGATAATTATCTTGTTAATCATGCGACTCATATTTCATTTTTCATCTTCTCATGAAACATGACCATGAATCTTATCGTTGAAACATTGTTACATTTTCCAACAACTTCCGTTTTCTCAACAATCAGATGAAACTTCATCTTCCGTCTACCGTGATGATAATTTCCGTTTCAAAGAATCTTAAATGATGATTATATAATTTGTGATCTTATTCTCCGTTTACATTACATGAGAAAAAAAATTCTAATGATTTGAAATGACTGAATCTGAACTCTTCCTCCGATTCTCCATGAAATTAATCCTCATTCACCAGGTAAAAGTAATTTTTTTTCTTCACCTTTTTAGATTTAATCAAAATTAATCATTGATTGTAATTGATGTTACTCTTATTTTTTGTCGTAAACATAATGAAAAAGATTTACAGTTAACTACTTGTCCATTGACAGGTAAACATTTAGCTGATTAACTTGATATAATGTTTGTAGTAACTTGCTCATCCTCTGAATTCCGAGTCATCTGAAAATCCTCAATAATGAAACATGATCATGATAGTAATGATCATAGATTGTATTTAGATGGAAATGTAAAAGCATCAAAAATGTTTTAATGGTTAGTTGTTGTTTCAATGTTATTATCAATTCCCTTGATTGAATTACAATTACTATTATTTGATAAACAACAATATCATGATCAACAAGAAACGTAATAATAATTTCCCAACATTTCCCATTGATCCATATCACGAGAATGAAAAATATTCACAATTAGCTGAATTGAAATTGTGAGAGAAAATCTTTCAATTTATTTACCTGGATAATCATGAATCCTCTATCATGTTCAATAGAAATCATCATGATAACCATCAGATATCAAGTAATATAAGGTTATATCTATTCCTCTACATGATTAGATCAAAGTTCAGGTCCCCATGAGTTTGAATAAGTGAACATTGTTTCTTAAAGGCTTCATGTTTTTGACCTTTTCTATTATGAGTAATGAATTTTGTGTATGTGATGTTGCTACATGGAGGGTATGCACTTTGAATGCTCAATGTTATGTCAGATTATTGTTTATTCATAATATTCAGCTCTATGTAAATGATTTAAAATTTACCGTTACTTATAAGCCTAATGGTTTTGTCCCATTAGATTTGTTGAAAATGATTCCATTTTTAATTTCAAAAGCCTCAAGTGATGGTTGAAATTTCACTTGAATCGATTCAACTTTTATCTCCAAGAAGTGTTAATGTTCAACATGATAATTGTGAATCTTATTGTTGGAAATTAAAAGCAAACCAAAGTAGAGACAAAGAATTGTAACCATTAAGTTAATTGTTATTGCTGCTAATTGAGGTTTTTCTCCCTTCTGATGAGAATTGTGAGAATCCATTCAATCTGGTTCATCGTTGGCTCTTGTAATCATAATGATCATTAGTTATTGTGGTTGTTATCGTTACCATGAAAGTGGAGATAAAAGTTCAGGGTACTAATCAGTTCAAGTGATTATTATTCATTTGTTTCCTCAGTGTTAATTGTTATCAAAAATAAATTAGTGATGTCTCATTATAATTAGATTAGATATGAAAAATTTCAGCGTCTTCGGAATAGCTGAATCTTCAGAGTTTCTTACGATTTCTGAAGTAAAACTCATATATTACTTCATATGTTCATCATTACATCGAGTCTTCTGGTTTAAACAATTAAGATTAAACTCCATGTCAAAAGATGGTAACGATATTAATTAATGCAGAATCAATCTGATTTTACTACTCAGGGAGCTCAGAAAATTCTGTGGCCAATCTCAGGAGCAATTTCTCTGAAATTGATTAAATATTCGGATGGAAAAAGTTGATTTCTCGATGCTGTGGTTAGACTTTTGTCCAATTTAAGGTTGACTTCGAAGGAAAAAGTTCTAACTTAATGTTGTCTTGGTGACATTTGAGTTCCAATTGTCGAAGCTGTGAATTCTGAGAAAAAAAGAATATAAAAAAGTTTGTTTAGTTAAAAGTATCTTTCGAATGCCAACTTTTTTTTTGTTCTTTTTTTCTTGACATCGAATGAAGATTTATCTTTATGGACTCACGATCAGAATCAGGGTAATATTTCAATTTATATACGAAAAATAACCATGGAAACTATTCTGAGAGATTGAGAATTTATTGTTCAGTCCCAGAAAGGAACCTGATTTCATGGATATGATAAGTTTCCCATGATCATCATGGTAACACAATTTTTCCCTCACCCTGTAAATCAATTGGAAACTTTTTTTGTTCCGGTTCATTTATGAGTATGTATGAGTTATATGTTTGAAGATGATGAAATTTTCATGATACTAACCACCAACTCATTGACATAAAAATTTATTTACATTCAATAACATGAAACTTTTTGTTGAACATAAACTACACTACTAAATATTATGAATAAGGATCATGATGGTCAAGAGTTTGTGGTCAAGATAAAATTGAGCATAATTTTTTTATTCTTTTTTCAATGAAATTCTGTCAAATTTTGATGTAAACATGATAAAGATAATGTCAGCTATCTCCTTACCAATATCGCGGATTCTAAACTTCATGAATTCCCCCTGAATCTTATCTCTTTTCCCTCTGGTTCATGATAATGATCAGACGGAAGAAATTTTTCTCTATTCAGAATTTTCTGTCTGATGATTACAAATTACATGTTGTTATTTACAATCTACCACTTTTTTTCATATATTCACCATAAGGAAGGGAAATCAATTGAATCTCATGAAACCATTTCATGGTAATATTTCATTTCCACCATTGAATTTTACTCTGATTTCCTGATTGATGTTGATTCGTTTGATATGTTTCAATGGGTTTATCATCAATGATTAGAATTGATTTTTCTTTTGGCTCTTGATTTCCTGGGTTAGAACTTTTTTATTTTATTTTATATTTATACCAAATTCATTTGATTATTCAGTTCCATGGAATTCAATCCATCTTTTTCATGGAATCATGGTGGTAATAATTTTTTTCTTCCTTTTCTACTACCAATAGGCTTCCAAATATTGAAAATCGAGGTTGAAGACGATGTGACACCAACAGAAGACTCAAAATTAACATTATCCTGTCTCATACAATCAACTAATTCAATTGAGGTAAGATCTTAATCATTTCACTATTCATTGATCATGATAATATCTCATTATTGAATTACCATTAATCTTAAATTCATCATCACCCTGATTATCGTGCTGGCTTCAAATTAGATGAAGATATTGATGAAGCAAATGGTAATTCTCATTGAGAGAGAGAGAGAGATAAAAAGTTCAGAAAAGTTCATTTTCTCAACTGATGTTCTTAATGATGTACATGAATACCTATCATCTAAAAACACATTGATTTACCACGAAAAAAATCATGATATAAAATTCAGGTGATAATAATAATCAACTTGGAGCTAAAAGGTTAGGAAAGGAGGAAATTCATCTGAATTATTAAATGAACTTTTCACCCTGAACTCAGACTCAGACAGTTTGAATCAATAGTCTTGGTGTGGTAACTAAGATCATCATTCTACTTCTTTCAATTCCTTAGGTGTATCAACACAAAAAACCCTCCATCATAAGATATGTAATAAGTTATCATGGTGGAATATTTTTCCCACCCAGTGACTCTTATGTTAAATATTATCATCTCTCAGTTATTATCATGATTATTAGCATTCTTCATGAAAAAACATGAAAGAAAATGAAGGAAGGAAAATTCCCTCAAAGAAAAATAAGCAAAACTGAGTTCTTAGTCTGGTGGTAATAATAATGGTAAAGAGAAAGAAAAAAATTCTAAATATGAACTTTAGGTGGTAAAAGAAAATGTCATGAAAAGTGTAACAATATTTATGAATAATAACTGAGTTCAGGTGGAACATGAGAAAAAGTAAAGAAACTGAAATAAAGTGATAACATTTCTTCAGAAATTTTGCCTGAAAGTTTCAAAATTTCTCCATGTATATTAGTTCACAGGAAAGAATTTGAAATTCAGAGAGAAAATTAGTTTTTCCTTTCGTTATGAAAAAAAAAGTTGGGTAATAATAATTTCTGTATAAGTTATGATATTGATTACAAGCCATTCTATTGTTTTTGGTTATTTCATGATGTTTTCAGGTGAATCAAATTGAAATGATTCGTCAGAATCTGAATTGAACTAAACTTTTTTCATTACTTTTATTTTCCCCTCAGGTTAAATGGTATAAAGATTTTACTCTGATAGATACAGAGACTAGTTTTTTACGAAAAATGTCAACCAGTTTGGGTCGATCGTCCATTAGATCTACTGGTGGTCATTATCTTGCCTCCTTGACCATTGGAAAACTTTATCCCTTGGACTCTGGTATTTTCACTTGTGAAGCCATTGATCTTAAGCACAGGACCCGAGTAAATGGTAGCTATGAGCTGAGGGTATTGAGTAAACCACAGGTCAAAGTTTACCCGTTAAGTTCAACCGTTTATTCATTGCAAACTTTTACCGTTTCTTGTTTCTCGGTTGATTATGATCCATTAATTGGTTATAATTGGCTTAAAAATGGTGAAATATTGAATCCACTCTATGATTCTGAGTTAATTGAGGATCTTTATCCCGCCGGGATAAGACTTATAGTACCAAAAGCGTTGACCAGAGCAGTTTACACTTGTCTGGTTACAACACCATTGGGAACAGTTGGTAAAGAATCAATTTTAACTGTGATTCCAAGTAATCTGACCAATGGTAAGTTATTATCTTTTCATAACTTCTCATGATAACTGATGATTTTCTGTCTAAATCCTTCAGAGTTGAGACAAACTTGCTCAAAGGAGACACATGAAGATGTTGACTGGCCTGAGACTGCAATCGATGGTGTTGCCGTTGAACCTTGTCCACCAGGTTACAAAGGTAAAAATGTTCAATCAAATAAATTACATGAAAATTGTTATTATATTTTTTTTGACTGAATTTCCTAATGTTCATGATGGTTTATTTTAGACGGAGGTGTAACCAGGAGACGTTGTTTTGCTAATGGTAAATGGGATGAAGCTGATTTTTCAAGTTGCCTTAATTACCAAATGTTTTACATCCAGGAAAAGGTAAAAATAGTTTTCATGATAATTCAGTTGATTCATTAGATTTGAATCCTTTCCACTATTAAGTAACCAGAACAGACTAAGAAATTGTTTGTTATTGTTGACCAATGGGCTCAGTATGGTTATCATTTCAATGTAAATTAATCTTATCCTTGATAATATCTTATCGGTCAGTCTGTTATCTACATGATGATGATACATCATTATTGTTTATCATGATTCATTTACATTGAATGGTTTATGGGTGGATAACATTAGATGACCAGTAGTGGACTTTACTTATAAATAATCAATCAAACTGTACCTCAAACTTTTTCTTTGGTAATAAATTGCATTAACTTCATTTAGTATCATCATGAGCTTCGCCAAACTTTTCATGATACAAACTGAATCCATGATATTATAACTCGTTTTCCATTATTGTAATTATGCTTAGTGACCAGACAAAATACTCTCAATATTTAGTTATCTAGTATATGATTAATTATCGATGATAAATCAACAATTTTTTTTATACAAGTTCAACATTTGAATATTGTGTCTAGTTTTATTGAGAGGAAACAATTTGATCAATATGACAATCAATCTAATTGTTGATAGACTTTTTTTTTCTTCTGGGAAGAAAAATGAAACATGAATTCATGAGATTTCTGTGCCTTCCCATTTCATGATGATCATGGTGAATTCACTTCTCAAAAGATAAACTAGAAAGTATTATTATTTTCTATTGATAAGTAGCTATGATGATGATAAGATAGAAATCATGTAATCGTATTGAATATGAAAACTGAATTGAATATGAATTGTTTGGATGAATACACGAAATGATTCAACAGGATCAACCATGAGATATATTGAATCTCTGACACCTTAATAGCTGCTAACAAAAAGCTAATCAAAAATATTTCAATATACATAAACACACTGAATAAAATGAACAAGGTGGGTAATGTTATCATGATATTGGGTGAAAAACAGGCAAGTGAATTGAATTGTTGAAGGAAAAATAGTAAAAGATATGAGTGATAAAAATAGTACTCAGGAGAGTAGGAAAAGAGGTGAGAAGATGATGATTAAGATGATGAGGAAGAATTGAAATCAATTGAACTTTTTTTCCTCTTTTATTATCATCATCATCGTCATGAGAGATAAGAGTAATCTTGATGTTATTGTTTGAGACTATGATCAGAAAGAAAAAGGAAAAAGAATTTGGAAAATTTCTGTAAATTCTGAGAAAAGAAAAAAAGTCCTGAGAGTTGAATAGTACCATGGTTATGCTTTCACTCCTTTTTGTTGATATGAGAATCAAGTTCTGTTTATCTATCCCTTGTGCTTATATATTTGTACAAATCGTCAGAGCAAGAGAGAGAGAGAGAGAGAGAGAGACTCAGACAACGTCGAGAGAGAGCAGAATTGGTAACTAAAAGTTATCAATTCAGCCGATAGATGAATACAACCATCACCGAGTTTCAATGGATTCGTATTTACAAATATTGAGGCTTAGATTTTTATCCTTGCAATCAGAATCAAGGGATTACCATCCACAACTACCGACCAGAAATTATATTATATCAGAATGCGAGAGAGAGAGAGAGAGAGTGAGTGAGTAAGTTTTCGATATCAAAGGTTTTCATTTTTATTTTGGTGAGAGTTTATCATTTATCCTCCTCCTCCTACAGCATTATCATCATCATCAGCATTACCAACATGATCAATAACATGATCAACTAGAAAGCTACAATTTAAACCAATTTTTCCCAATTTAAGATCCAATTCACAGACAATAGTTGGAGTATCATGATGATAATAATGGTGATAATAGTAATGAGATTGATTGAACAATTTTTACAGAAATAATTTCCAAAAGTTTACTTGAAACTTACTCAGCTTGTATTCTACTTTCAACTTATCTGTGAGTTCAACATGGGAACTGGATTTTCAATTATGACTGGAAAAAAATAAGAAAAAAAATTCTCATTTTTCTTTCATCACCAAACCTTAAACACTGACCAATCCATCATGCCTACGATAACACACAGAGCAGTATCTCAGTGACCAGTGAAATTTTATCTCTATCTATGAACAATAATCATATAATTATATCATTATTCAGGTGCCGATGCTAACGATAATTCATTTACTATCCTTAGAGATCGTTAAGTTAATCGACAATTTAATTCAATAGGAAAAGTTAATGATAATGAGAAGTAGAAAAAAAGTTTGAAAGTTCTCTTTTTTTTCTCAGTGGAACTTTTTTTTACCATGGAGTTTTTTTTCTACCAGGCAAATACTCATTATCGTAGTCAAATGAATGGTAAATAATACAAATGATTCTGGATAATTGCATGATGATTAACACAATCACCGTTGATATAATAAACAATAAGCTTCGTACATAAAACCCAAGTGTTATCATTGTTTATCTTTCATGATCATTCATGAAATTTTATTCAATGAACTCAGATATATAATAGATTAGCTCAATTATTCAAAGAGTAGATACTATTATAAACACAATCAACTCATTTTTGAAACACATCATGTTGATGATGATTATATAGAAATATAATGGTGATTGGAATAACAGTAATATCATCATCATAATCATCATCATTGACGACAACTAACTGAATAGGAACTGGAAATGATGGCGATTGAATTGAAAAGTTATTGTACTTTTTTTGATTAGTTTACTCATTGTAACGATAATGATATTTCATTGTTGCTGAATATTGAAATTAAATCGTTACTTCAAACTGATTTACGAATTTGATATCAACTTTTTTCTTATCGAATTTATTTTCTTCTCAATTTTTGATTATTTTTCTTTCCATTCGAATTTGAAACTTAGTTTTAGTTTTCTTCCATTCGATGAAATAATTTCAAGGTACATTTGAAAACGGAAATAGGAAATGGTTCAATTTTTTCTTGATGAAACAAATTATCGACTCATAATGATGAGATAATCACATGGGAATATGATCATTAGAGATGAAAAATTGATTCAATCGGAAGAAGTAATAATATTATCATGTGTCAGATTCTAAGCTCATGGACTGGAGAAAGTTGAATAAACTTTCGATATAATTTTCTCTTTCTCTTTTAGTATTAATAATTCTTGGTGATTTTCTTAGAAACTATATAGATTGAACTTTTTTATTCGTTTTCCAATTTCTCTGAAATTGTTGATTGTTGATTAATGTCTGATTCTAATTTGGTTATATTCAGTTAATGAGCCTTACACTTGGTTATCATTTGGTGTCCCATTCGTCATTGATGAACCAACTTAAAGAATCACTCAATGGACTTCGACTAAAACCATCTCAAGGTCATTTCATTATTCACCTTTTGGAATCCCTGATGGCCATACTCAAGTTAACAATGGATTCGATGGAGACTCATGAATCTTCCCAACTTGCTCTTGATATTATCTCATCGCTACTTAATAAACCAGAATCGATCAATAGCCTAACGGTAAGTTATGTCCTTATCTTTTCGAGTTAGAACTTTTTTTTTCTCATTCTTATTATCATTAGCCCAATCTTAATAATCGCCATTTCGATTTAGTCCTTATGATTAAACAAAGTTTATTTCGAGTTAATGTTTCGCTGAACTTTTTCCCAAGTTTTTTTATCAATCAATTCTCAAAACTTTATCATGGTGATCATTTTATGCACCAAGTCAGCATTTTTAAACTCTCATCTTCATGATAAGTTCTCTAATGAATACAACCAAGAATTTTCTGTTGCAGGAACCCTTTTATTCAAATATAGTTAATTGATAAATCTAATGGTCTTGTTATTTGTTTCAATGATAACCTAATAAATGCACCCAACTCACAGAGTTCAGACTTGAATCTGTGTCAAAGTTGAAAATTTCAGGGTGAATTTCAACTCTTTTTGGGATATAAATATTATTTTATATTAAAATATTTTGCGCAATATTTACTCGGATGAACATTTGAGAAATCGAGTTAATGACAATTTAATGAAATATCATTTAGTTATTCTCTCTCTTTCCACCATTTAACTTCCCATGATTTTTGTTCCGATTCGAATTTGCTATTATGACTTTTACCTTTCTCTTATTTCATTATTATTTAGCTATTATATTACCGAGTCAAAGGTAAGAAAAAGTTTTGAATACAATAGAAGATTGTAAAGAGAGGGATAAGAAAATTGAAAATGAATTAGTAAAAGGGAATATCATCTGAACATCCGATAGATTTTCATACTTTATCATGGTTATAATGAGAGATTCAGATACCATTGAGAGTTGATCTTCTTTCGTAAATAGAAAACCTTTTCATCATCATTACCTTTTCCTCCTTCTCATTATGCTAAGAGATAAAAATAGAGATAATCAAGCTGAGCTTCCCGAGAATCAGTCAGATGGTAAAGGAAAGTGGGTAGTTTTCTATGAAGGGTGAAGGAAGAATCAATATAATCATTCAAAAAGAGAAAAGTTTTATCAGTTTCGAGTTTAAAATCCTTTCTCTCTCTCTCTCTCTCTCTCTCTCTCTCTCTCTCTAAATTTGAAAAATATTCGCCCAAAGAATTCAGTTAAGATGATAAAACAAATGAAAAGTGAGAATGATGAAGATGTAATTCTAAATTCTCCAGAGTAACTAGTTGAACTACTCAGAAGTAATAGTAGCCTAGTGAATTAACAATCATTCCCAATAATTCACGATGATCTCATAAAGAAGACAAAAAGTTCTAATGATGAGATACTCGATGCTATACTCAATGCCAATGTTTATTTCTGCATAAACTGAAAGTCTCAATTCACCCTGAACTTATCCCTTTTAACTATATCCCACTTATACTCTTGCTCCTCTTTATATGAAGCCAGGATAAGATTCAGATGCCATTGTCACTTTATGAATTCATTGATCACTTTCTCGTTGTGTTTCTAAGAATTGATTCAATCAAAACCCTAAGTAAAACTTGAAAACATAATAAATTGTCCAAAAATCCCTGATAGACTAAGCATTATCAGCTTTATAACAGAGAAAGGGAGTAGTGGGAGGAAGATGGTGAAGATAATGATGATAAGAAACTTGGCGAAAGAAGGAAAAATTTTTTGCTTCCTTGGTGATTTATCGTTTATATTTTCATCGATAGACTTTTATATAAATTTAGGTTAAAAGTACAGAGTTTCCAAAATTTTCCATGAGGAATCTAAAGCTCAATGAAAATGAATCATTGAGAAAACTCAAAATCCTAATCTAATCAATGATTTCCCATCAAATTACAATTAATCGCAAAAACAAGCAAATCATTCAATCAATTTCATGATATCCTCAAAGATGTTATGATATTTGTGATAATTTGTTTCCAATCACATTGATAATCTTTCATCTCTCTCTCTCTCTCTTTGTTTGTATTGTTCAACAGGGTCTTTCAAATTTACATAGACTATTAATGGAATACAGTTTACTGTCCAGTAAGATTGTCAAGGGTCAACATAATCATCAGATAACAAGATCCAATTTTGTGGTTGAAATACTCAATCTGGATCATCGTTCCAATCATTTACTGCCTTCCACTTTGAATTCACCAACCATAGCATCATCATCATCATCTTCATCATCAGCTTCAGCCTTATCATCATCTAAACATTTGAACAACAACAATAAACCATTATCATCATCATCTTCATTGTCATCAACAGCAACATCAACCCTATCATCATCTACTTCAATACCAAGCTGGTTAACAGATAGTGTTCAAGTAGATATAACTTCATTACCTGGGTATAATCAGAACAAGTCATCATCATCATCGTCATCATATTCATCATCTTATTCACCAAAAGGATCAACCACCAGTCACTCAACAGATCAGCTGAAAAGTGTTCTAACGGTTTTCTATCAGAATTTAACTTCATTTTTACCCAAAAATGTCATCATTCATAAAGAGTAAGTTGATTAATTATTTATTGACATTCTTATGAAAAAAGTGTTATCATGTAAAAGGTTTTCTTGTATTTCTATGGAAATTTATATTGAGTCTTCTGTAAGGTTATAAATGAAAACAGGAAGAGAATGAATTAAGATTTTATTTATCCTAAGATGAGGATAATAAAGTTTACAACAAAAGATACAAATGTTATCATGATGAAACTAAATCACAGTTTAATGGTAATCATGATAATATTTAAGAACAAGAACTTTTTTTCTCGATTCTTTTTATGCTCGAGAAATAAATATGACAAACTTGTTACAATAAAAAAAAACTTTACAAGAGGTTGGACAATTTTCCAATTGAGTCGAAAATTGTTCTGATAAATTTTGGGACACAATTCGATTTGTCGTAAAAAAATGTTCTAACCATTAGTTTCTTGTTATTTTGTTATTTTCTATTTTATTTTTACAAGACAATGTCGACTCCCTGTGAGATTTCATCGCCCAATTTTGTTCATTGTCGATATTTAAAAGAGTATATTTCAAGTAAGTGCTGAGAATCGATAGCTCTTTGAGAGAGAAACATTATTAAGCTTTGGATTTTGGACAGCATGGAATCATTATCATCACCTAGAACTATGATAATATTATCGTATATTCGAGTTTAAGAAACGAAATTTGGTTGCATAAAGATAATTCAGTTTCTCGAATTTGCAAGTTCGTTTCTTTTCTTACGCAACTTTTCCCTGGAGGGACTGAATACTATTCGAAGGAGGAATAGAAGGGAGTGAACGAGGGTAGAGTTATAATAGGAATATGCATGAATCGAATGAGGAAGTGAAATTTGAGACAAGAAAAATGAATTGTTTCTCTTGAGAAGTAGGAGTAAAAAGAGAAGTCAAATTTGATTCTTTTTTTATTCTTGATACTTTGTTTCGATTCTGAATACATGAACATTCAGTCGCCTAAAAGAATGTTACTCTGAACATCTATGAACAAAGATCTGAGGGTTACTTAAGCTTCCACCATGAAACTTTAACCTTGCCTGTTTAAGAATAACTTCATTAATCTTATCATGTTCAAGTTCATTTTACAGTTCAACGAATAGAGGAAAGAAGATAAAAAGGGAGCAAGTCATTTATTATCATGTATTTTTATCGAAATGAATCTGAATATAAGAATATTCAGTTTTTGAAATTCTCTCTCTCTCTCTCCTTCTCATTCTCCCCTAACAGTAATCCATTCTCACTTTTGTTCCATTTCCATTGAAAATTCATATTCTTTCATCTCAAGTTGTTGATTTTCATGTTTTCAGATCATTATCCAAGATGAGGTCATTCTGAGACTCGATTGATCAATGGTCATTCTTATCATGATAACAATTAATGATGACTGATTATCCATCGATAGTTAATCTCCAAGACTTTGGATTAACGTAATAAAAGTTTACGATGTGATCACATTTGGATCATCATTAATTTCATTTGTCATCTCATATAATATTGAGATATGATTCTTGATAATATCTTCATAAACTTTGTTACACAATCAATTAATCATAGTGATTTGATTAACTTGTGAAAGGATAATAATAATAATAAATAAACAAAGTTGATGATGAATCACAAACAGTTTAAAAGTTATCATATAAATCATCTGGATTCTACAGTAACTATAGTAAAGTTTATTGGTCAATCCATTGGGAGAACTGTGATCATGATAACAATGATTTACAATCTATTTTGAATAATCTATTAATAGTAACCTGGAAATTTATCTTCTCCTTTTGGTTCAGTTTCACTTATGAGGAATATCAAATTCACTCGAAAGTTGTCACCGTTGCCTTGGTCCATAGAGCTCATTACATACCCACAAAGCCTTATCCACTTCGAGTAACTGCCCACCTCCGTCATCATCCTTCGATCGAGGTAAGAAATAAAAGTCTATCTAATTTTCTTGGAATCGAAATCAGAAACTTATTATTACTTATGAAAAATAAACTTTCGAAATTTTCAACCATCAACACCATCTATTATCTTAAATGATAAACTCTCGATGAAATATATCAACTTTTCCTCTCTCATAAACTTGAACACTAATCTCACTTAAGATAATTAAATGTTGATTAATTAATTGCTCTCAATAACTGATGCTTAATCAACAATATATGAGATAATTATTCATGTCATCAGATTAAAACGGTTTCCATTTCATTTATGTTTACCCAAATAATTAAAACAAAGTGAATAAGGTAAATTATTCATAATCATTAGTTTGGGTAATGATTAAAACACTTTAATCCTTAATTAACTTGAAGTTGATTATTAATAATTAGCAAAGTGAGTAAACAATTAAACGTAAACTCATTTTGTGTAACAAAAAGTTTTATTATATACTTTTATCAACAAGATCAATAACATTTAACTTAATGAAATGATTTTGTAATCAACTTTGTTGGATTGATTCATGTTTCCAACAGTTGATGATTATACTTTAAAATTAACTGAATGTTGTTAATCAAACAAGACAATTAACTAATTAGATTATTTTAAATTACAGGATAATGTTAATGGTAAAAAAATCACTTGTGGCCTTGTACAGTTCAATGAAAGGTAAGATGAGCTGATGAGATGATTATTGATGATGATTGAGTAAATCTAATTTACGATGATTGTTTAATTGCTCCCAATTTAATCAGGATTGGATTCGAGACACAGAATTGTCAAACCTCAACGGAAACAAGTGATTCGTCCTCAACTATTTGTATCTGTGATATAACCGGAGCTTATTCAGTTCTGGTCACCAGTCAATTCAACAAGAATTCAGATCAATACAATCCGGAAGTTGAATTAAATCCCACTGATCAGGAAGAGTACCCGGAACAATATCAATATCAGTTACATCAAAATCAACATCAAACAAACCACGTGCCTATTGATATTGATAATCTTTTAATCATTAGTTTTTTAATCTCAATTGGATTAATCACCTTGACCATTATTATAATTTTGATTCGATCAAGGTGAGTTCAATCAGATTCACAATCAATTCAATTTACTCTTGAATATGACAATATATTCATTGTAATATTTACATTGAATCTCATGGCAACTTAAACATTACATTAACCGTTACATTTATCGTAATGAATAAACAATGATATTATCATGATGATATTATCATGTAAACAATATGATTAAGCAATAGATTCCTCTGAATGTGAATCTCATGAATATATGTACCATTGAATAGCAGAATTGAATGATAATAAAGTCATCAGCATGGTGAAACATGATGGTAATCATTCAGGTTCATGTTCAATTTATATACAATAACTTTGATTGATTAGTAAACAAATCATAATGAATATAAAAAAAAAGTTAATGCACTCGATTGAATTGGATTAAACTACTTTACTAGCTAATTCAATTGGTTAAGATGAATACTATTGATTAGTTAATTGTTGAATGTCAATAATGAACAATAACCTTAGTAGTAAGAATGTTTTTCGTTTCCATTTCATGAGGAGTCTCATGTTTTCCATGAAAATAAATTGAACGAGAAAAAAAAAGAGTAATGATAAACATTGAATCAACATTATCTATGTAATCTCATGGTGCCTATTCAGGATTATTATCATGAACATCATTTCAAAAGGTGAACATATAATATTAGAATGTTGTATGTTAATTTCATCTGATTTCTCATGAATATTTGGATAACATGGTGATACTTTGATTGGATCAACAATCTAAACCAAATGGTTCATCTTTTACTCTATTTTGCCCTATGGTCATTATTCATGTCCATAAGTGGTCAAGCATAATGAAAGAGATTCATTGAGAATCAGAATCTTGAGAATCATGAAACATTCAACTCATTGGTAAATAAAGTAATCCCAATTTCCTGATGACTTCGATTAACGGTTAATTAGGTTAAACAAGAACATCATGATTCAGTATTGATACAATTTCTCTTCTCATAGTTTCCCCTGTAATCTGTTAGAGTTTAGAAGTTGATCATGAAATGAACTCTTGAATAAATAAAAAGAATAGGAAATGAATTAACAAAGAAAGAAAAAGAAAAATCTAATCTCCAAATGAAAAAGATTGATGAATAAGAAAACGTTTTGATCTTTTAATCTGAATGGATTAAGATTGTACTAATTCATAATTAATAATAAGAATTAATTTCCATTCACTTTTTTCTTGATACAGATTCAGATTGAATTGTTTACGATGCCTGAAACTTCAGATTTGCCTTGCAACCATTGGAATTGAATTTTCATTCATGGCCACTTATAAACCGATGGACATTATTTCAGTGAGTGAACTTTATCATGAAAATGAATTTAACATCAAAATTATCATTTTTATCATTTTCTATTCTTAACTAGATACCATGGATGAATATATTTCAATTGATTCTATTTTTTCAACTGGTCTGTAATTGCCTTCAGATAAGTTTATGTACCATTGTCTATGCGAGTGTGTCCCAGTACAATTACGGTAAACATGATGTACCTTATATAAAGATCACCTTTCTTGGGTGGGGTAAGTGTACTGTGTTGCCCATCAACACGTAACAAAAAATGACCTCAAAAGTTACTGTTTGGATTAATTTGATTTGTACTTTTCTTATGAATGAAAAGTTATACCATTGAGTTTAACCGGAGCTGCTGTTGTCGCAAGTGATCTGGACGATTCGTACAGACCGGATAAAATGACCGATATCGAGGGTCAATATTTTTACTTTACAAATGGAAGTGCTCTTTTTATAACTATTGTAAGTTGCAATGTGCAAGTAATATTTAACCATGAATATCAATGTGCATCTGATTAATGTCTGAGCTGAATAATATATGAACTTATCTAGTGGAAGTATAATTTATAATTAGCCAATGATTAAAGATTCAGTTCAAATTGACTCACTCTGGGGATCATTCATTACGGTTAATTAAGTTGTGGTCAGTTGAAGTTTGATGAGTGGATAAGTGACTAGCATTATATTAGCTGATAATGAGAATTGATATTCATCATTAATCATTCATGTTTTTATCTTTTTTTGCTTTTCTTTTCTCTTGTATTTTAACTTTCTATTGTTTTTTAACCTTTCAAGATTCATCTTATTCTGGTCACCATTTTGAAGATAAAATTCTCAGATCGCCACAAGAAGGAACTTTTGGACAGTTTTCGACGGTTAGACAATGGAACAAAAATTCTAAATCAATCATTATTAACTATTTTTTGGACAGACTTTTTTCTTATCGCCAACTTTTACTACCGAAGTTCTCGAAAAATTGTCTCGAAATATTTTATTTCCGTTTTATCTTGTCTTCTTGGACTTAATGTGATAATTTGCTATGGGTTTTTTGCACAAATCGATGAAAACTTCTTACTCGATTCAGGTAATAATTTACCTACAGCTCAACAACAATCAACTAAACAGGAAAGAGAATCTAAAACGACCGCTAATCTACCAATCAATAAGCAGTTGGCTAATAATGTTTATGCTCTCGACGAAATGGATATTGCATCTACTTTTAATCGGGTTACATTGACTGAGTTTGATGTTCACTATGAGCCTGGACGGAGTGATCTCTAATTGTACCCGATCATTGAAAATATTATCAACTACACGCAGATTTCAATAATGAAGAAATAAAACTGATTTAAATTAATTTATCAGATTTTTTCATTGATTTTCCATTAATAAGTCATTTGTTTTATGAGTTTTATTTGATTTCATTAATGATGATGGTACTGATTTCTCCCTCTAATGATCAGTCTATTCATTGAACAGACAAAGACTTTAGAGATTATCAATAATTGATTCAGTCATGATCCATGTAATTGAAATTACAATATTGCAACATGATGGTTGCTATAAACTCCATAACAAACTAAAAGAGAATCTTATTAATCAATATTCACAATTAAAAATGATTGATTTCATGACTGATTGTTAGTCTCAAGCTCCACCTCCTACCATTAACGCTCATCTTACCCAATAATTTGGTCCATTAATGAACAAGCGCCTTTTGCAAGCTATTTTTAACGTGAGAATTTGATTTGTCTACTGAATTGGCTTTTCTTTAAACATTTTCATTTTTGTTTAATTAATTGGTTAATTATCGATCCATACGAATCCATATGAGTGGTGAATGAAATTTAATCAGCTCATGTTAATTTCTGGTTTTCAATTTCAATGATATGATATTCAAATGTGTTCAATTTTTAATGTGATGTTTAATATTTAAGTTTTGAGATAGTTTTTCTTTCCACTAGTTTATTAATTTACTAGTTAGTAGTCATAACTATAATTTTGACTGAGTTAAATTGTTACTTTGTTGAAAATGAATTTTTCTTTGATCATGTTAATTGTCACAATTTCTTCGCTCTGTTCAACAATTTCTGGTAAAGCAGCGCAAGCTTGTAATCCGACGTTTGGCTGCCGAAATAATTACTGTTACAGAAACTGTTTCAATTGGGGTTCTAATCCTAAGGGAGGCTCCGAATGGTGTTATACCCAGAACGAAACAAGTAAGGAAAATCGTAAAACTGTTCATTGTGAAAGTCAAGCTGATTGCGATCCGTGTTGGGAATGTGCTAGCGCCTGTACTTGGAGAAAAAATCTAACCCCTGAAGAGATAGATGATAATTGATCTTGAAAGAGATTCAAATCTCTTTTACAATAATATTGATGCTAAATGAGCTAATCATTAAATAAAAATCTAATTTGGAATTCATTAATCATATTGTTTATTTATTCTTCTTTCATCTATTACATGTCTAAATAAAATCTAAGAATCAAATATATTAATAGATCAATATATTAATACGATAATATATATTAATAGATCATCGAATTGACTAGAGTATTATCGGTAATGTTTTGGACTAAATTTTTAAAATTGATTAGCGACTGACTCACTTTACTTATTGAATTCATTCCAACGTTGGATTTCATTCAATTAACGATTACGATTAAAGAGTACGATGGTCAAATGAGTGCGCATCGAAATTTAGTTTGCATTTACATTCATTTTTTCCCATAGAAAATTCTGAGCAAATAGATGAGTGAAAGCGGAAATTTGATGAGATTTCCTGAAAATCCATACTCAGTTGATCCACAAGGTTAAGATCTACTCAATGTTTGAATAAATTTATCGATATAATATTTCGCTTTGATATCGGAAACCGAAGAGATACAAAACATCGGATTCAAATCTTCTAAAGTTGATTAGTTGCGAGTGAATAGCAAATCGAATCAAATAAAACGATCAACAATTAACAGCTGAGCTGAACTTTTGAAAGGGTAAAAAAACTGCCCAAAAATTGATATTTTACAGAGAAAATCTTTTAAATTCATTTCGATTATTTTATTTATTGGAACTTCGAACACCAAAGCCCAAGTAACTCAATCCAAACTTTTCCAAATTAATTATCGAGTTGATTTTCTCTGAATAGTAAAAACATAAATCAGCAATCAATCAGAAACAGAAAATTTTCAATGTGATTATCGGGATGTTATAATTTAGGAGGAAATCGAAAAATTATCCATCAAGTTAATTTCAATCAATCAATTGGTGATAATTAATATCACAAAGATTAAGTTGATCAACAAAACTTTAGCATGTTAATATTGAACATATGGATCACAATCTGATCATTAATTTGATATCAATTATCAGCAATTAGGAAGGTTGAAATTTGATCAATTCAAGTTTATTCTGATCTCAAATATTGAGAAAATCAAATATGGTTTCTCAATCAACTTTTTATCCAACACATAAGCAACTTTTAAATTAGTAAATCAGCTCACTGATAAACAGTTAATAGTATTATTAGTTTGATTATTATATTATTGATTCAGTTTTGATTTTTGAAATATTAACAGCAACATGAAGTTTTCATTGATTGTGTTGATTTTTTTCATATTTTCATTGAGTTTTCATGAAATAAAAAGTAAAACAGTAGTTAAACGAAATGAGCGACCTGATTTCGTTTGTGCTAAGAAATGGGACTGTTTCCATTCTTATTGCCGAAGGGAATGTTACACCGACACTGGGCCGAAATTCTGTATTTCAAAGTCCAACGGAACCGAAAGTAAAATGGTCACTTGTTCCGAACGAAGTGAATGTGACCCGTGTCTCAAATGTTTCGGTCCATGTGACATTTAATTCTGAACAAAGGTCAAGATCTAAAATGAAATCATCATGAAAAGATCAATTCTAATAATTTTCGAAATCGATATCCAAACTAATTCAATTCCATTTCTTTAATGTATTAATAAGAAAAATAAAATTCCAAATAAATTGAAACATTTGATTTTCGCTCCAAAAGTAAAATCATTTTCTTTTGTTTACTTTTTGTTGACAAACTGTTGCTCTTTTTGTTTATTGCTGTTTTTGTTTTTCTTCATCAATTTAATCTTTAACCAATTTCGCTGGTTAATTAAATTGTTATTTTCATCTTTAATTCTACATGTTGAAAGTTTTTCTTTTCCTTTGTTTACTCCTGTCATCGGTAATGGCAGATACAGACAGTTTCGATGCTAATAATACTGACATTGTGGACGAAAATACAATTGATGCTAACACTATTAATGTTAGAAACTTTAACCATTTATTTGGAATTAAATTATCTTTCGATGTTCTTTCAATCATTTTCGGTTTAATTGTGATTATCGGTGGTCTAACTGGCTATTTAAAAAGTGGATCAGTAATGTCACTCGTCTCTGGATTAGTATTTGGAATTTTAATTTTTACTGGTTCCTATTTTTCTTCTCGTGATTCTACCAATGTTTACCTCCTTCTTGGTATGTTTTCTTAATTGTTGTCTGTTGACGTTTCTATTGCAACAACTAGAGTTTAATTCTTAATCATATCCTTCATTTTAAATGTTCTAATTGTCTTCTTTTGTCTCTTTTCTTTCCTTTCTTTTAGTTACTTCTGTAATTCTTGCCGGTCTCATGGGTTGGCGATTCTTAAGAAGCTACAAATTCATGCCCGCAGGGCTGGTTACTCTTTTAGCTGGCCTCATGTGTTGTCGTTACATTTACATCTTAATTGCGAGCCGATCAAAATGATTAAGATTTTGTTTCCTTTTCCGTTTTCCATCCATTTCTTACTTCATGTTCATCTTAATTTGACAACGAAAATCTTTAGAAGGCAAAGTAACGTGAATATTTTATCAACCATCAAATATACTCTAAATACATAACAATCAATATGTAATCAATTAATTTTCTTATAATCATCTCTTTAATCAATCAATTCTTGTTAATCTTTTGTAATCTCAATCTCAATCTAATATTTGTAACTCTTTTATTTACCTTTTTCTTCAACATCTTTGCTTCAATCAAAGATTCCAATTATCAATTTATTTATACTCATTTACTAGTATCACAAATCAATCAAATGTAATCGAAAACCTTTAAATATAATTCATTTAATTTAACAAATTGTCAATTTAGAAAACGAAACAACTAATTGAAAATCGCGGTTCATTTTATTCCATTGGGTAAAAGAAAAGGGGAGAGAAAAAAATCTCAGCTGATGAGAAAAAGGGAAGAGCCTATTCGTACAAAAACTGTGTGCGATTAGGCGCTGAGACTATCCGTACAAAAACATATGTCTATTATAAAACAGTGCAAGTGTTTTTCGGCTCAAAATTAAGCTGAAATTTTTTTCGGCTTAAGATCTCAGCTGAATATGGAAATAACTTTAATTGTTCAGTTAATTGTGTTTGTTTAAATTAGGTTAGGTTAGGTCTTCATTAAAAGGGAAAAAGTCGTCGAAGGAAGGCCCGGAGGGCCTGAGACAATCAAAAAAGCAAACAATTAGCCGAAAAAAATTGATTAAGACTCGATATTATCAGATGCGAATATCCGATAATATCGATTCTATTTGGGTAAGGCGATACAAGTGTATGTCAGCTCACTTTTCTTGCTCTAAGCCAACATCTGGTTCGGCTCAAGACTAATCATCAGCTTAAATTTTTCGCGTTCAACTAAATTAACTTAATTATGATCTTAATTAACAATATGGACAAAAAATTTGAACTTAAGCACAAAACACTAACTAGATTTAATCATTTGAGTGTAAATTTTGACCGTGATTGTTGCATTTCTACGAAAATGACTGAATGTAAATTAGGTTTAGATAATTTTAGTTAAAAATGGAGGCTCATACAGAAAGAGAAGAAAGAAGAGAAAGAAAGAAGAGAAAGAGAAAATAAAAGAAAAAAAAAAAAGAGAAAAGAAAGAGAAAAGAAAGAGAACCAAAACCAGAACCAGAACCCGAACCTGAACAAAAGTTCACCAGAACAATTTAAAGTTTAAAACTTTATTATTAAAGTTTAATCTTTTGTTCAATTTTGTCGACAAAGTCGACAAAATTTTCAATAAACTTTCTGGCCTCAGCCAGATGAATTTTCAATTTTAAAATTTCATCCTCATCAATTGATGAAAGTGATGGCGATGATTCTGATGATGTAGAAGAAGATGAAGATGAACAAGATGGAGAAGAAGAAGAAGATGAAAGTGATGGTGATGATTGTGATGGTGATGATTGTGATGGTGGAGAAGAAGATGTTGAAAGTAATGGTGCTGATCTCGATGATGATCTCGGTGATGATCTCGGTGATGATCTCGGTGATGATCTCGGTGATGATCTCGGCGATGGTCTCGGCGATGGTCTCGGTGATGATCTCGGTGATGATCTCGGTGATGATCTTGATGGTGATGAAAATGAGGATGGAGAAGAAGATGAAGACGAAGAAAACGATGAAGATGATTTAGATGGTGATGAGGAAGATTCTGATGATGATGAATTAGAAGAAGATGAAGAAGAAGAAAACGATGAAGGTGATGATTGTGAAGACGATGATGAAGAAGAAGATGATTTTGATGGTGATGATCTCGGTGATGATCTGGTGATGATCTCGGTGATGATCTCGGTGATGATCTCATGATGATCTCGGTGATGATCTCGGTGATGATCTCGGTGATGAAAGTGAAGATGAGAAGAAGAAGAAGACAAAGAAAGAGATGAAGATGATTCAGATGGTGATGATGAGGATGAACCAGAAAAGATGAAGATGAAGAAACGATGATGTTGATGAAAATGAAGATGGAGATAAAGATGAAGATGATTCAGATGGTGATGACGAAGATCTAGATGAAGATGAAGATGGAGAAAACGATGGTGATGGTGAAAATGAAGAAGATGTTGACGATTCTGATGATGTTGAAGAAGATGAAGATGATGAATTTGATGATGCTGATGATTTAGATGATGGAGAGAAAGATGCAGGTGATTTAGATGATGACGATGGAAAGTTTTTTGGTGATGATGACGATGAGGATAAAGTTTTTATTTTCATCCAACAGGATGAAAATTTCATCCAAATTGATGAAGGCTCGAAACATGATTTCGAGCCTCTTCAAAAATTGATCATCAAAAGATGATTGAAATCGTCAGGGACGAACGGCGGTGATGATGGTGGTGAAATGGGCTCAACTATGAGCCCATTGAGATTAACTTGGGGAACTTGAGGAACTTGGGGAACTTGGGGAACGGGTAGATCATCAAGATCAAGTCGAGGGAGGGAAACAATTAACTTTTTATTAATTTTAAATTTCGTCCTCAAAGCTTTTTCTAAAGCTCTCTCTCTCTTTCTTTCTCTCTCTAACTTTAAAATTAATCTAAAATTTTTCCCTCCCGTATCTTTTTTCTCCTCTCGCATCGCTCGACCCATTCTCACATCTAATGCACTTTGAACATTGCCCTTTGCTATTTATACCCAAATTGAACATTACCCAAGTGACCTAACGAAATTCCTATTTGCCCATGAGAACTTATTTTGACCTCAAGTTATTATTCATCTTGACAGTTTGACCCATTTCAAGTAATTTAAATTGCCTTTGACCCTAGATTTAATTGTTAAAAGAATTTAATTTTCTCACGAGGTCAAAACGTCAATGTAATTGATGATTTTGTTTACGAACAAAGTTCGTGACCGGACAATAACCTTTTTCTATTGAATGCTATGGGAATAAACTATATTTAATATATCTATGTATCAATAGTGCATCTATATTAGTTAATTGTGACCTTAATTGTTGATTCTTCCCATAGACATATAGCGCCATCTATTGTATGGGAAATATACTAAAATGGTAAAATTTTGTCAAGCCCCTGAGTTGAAGTTTATGGACAGCCTAGTGACCCCTAACGACGGCTGATGTAACTAAAAATCGAAAATTTTATCAAAGTGGCTTTAACATGTATTGGACCTATTATTAATGCTTTCTATGTATATTTGATGGTTTTCAAAGGTTAAAAATTGTTTCTTATGGATAGAATACCCATATTATCATCATTATGAACCAAATAAATGGATAGAATGTAATTAATGGTTACCAAAATGCATTTTATTGATTGAATAAGTTTAAAAAGTTATAATGATTGTGATAATACATACAGTTGATTATCACAAAAAGAGATAAATTGAGAAAAAAGTTTATAATAAATGATTAGAGCGTAACATCATCAAGATTATGATTGATAAATAAGTGATGTGTTAGCTTACAAAGAAATTGATTAAATGAAAACCTTGATGATGACATAATCGATGACCTCGGTAATACGAGCTTGCATTTCATCATCGACTTTAACTCCGTAGATGTCACCAAGTTTAGCCGGTTCGTACGGATTGTTGAATGATGAATATTAATAACCAATCAATCCAGTGTAGATCCAATACATTTTACGGAGATCGGCTGTAAAGTCTCCGTTATTGTCCTCGAGGTCCTTAATGTAGACCATCACTGCCTTTTGGACTTTTTAACAAATTCATCAATTTGGCCAGGTTTACCTTCTCCAAGTTTGATGATTGTTTCATTATGAATCGAATTGATGGGATGATTCGATAAAGCCCAGCAACCACTGTTATCGGGAGGTTGAGAATAGTTTTTATCACTTTTGTCGAGTGAATTATATTTGCCATTTTTCGGTTTACCAGTGAGTCGTAAACCAGTAGCTTTGAATTTTGGTAGAGGTTCCGTGTAGTTGAGATTTTGTTCAATATGGACAATCTCTTGATAACCAAGTACCAAACCTTTACCAGCGCCATAAACAGAATATCCATCACGGATATTGACAAAGAGAATATCATCTTTTTCCGCTTTTCCATTAGTTAGAGCACAATGATATTTATGGAAAGGTGATAACTTGATCGAGAAAAGTTCGTTGAAGTCAACACGTTTACGTTTTTTAACTTCCATTTCAGAGTCTGAACCTGAAGTATCATTGTCGACTTGACGTTTACCAGATTTATATGAAGCCATTTTCACTGTTGAAAGTAATAATTAAGAATGGTTAGTGTTGGGAAAAAACTGTATAACACAAGAGTAACTGTTTCACAAGTTTAGAGTTTGAAGAGAACTTTGAGACTAAACAAAACAACGAAATGTTTCTTCTTATATAGTCACTCCGACTTAAGCGACCCCTAGAATTTTCGGGAGCTCAAGTTGAGAGGCAAGATCCTATCAACACCAAGATGAGAGTGAGAAGGAGGAGGATTGTATAAACCATCAGTTGTTATTCAACATGAGGATCGTAAACATTGTAGTTTCATATGAAGCGTCAATAAAACTTGACCCAACAAAGTACCCTGATTATAATCCAAAACGATTTAGTGGAGCGATCGTTAAATATTCTGGTGGTAAAGCTTTGGTTTTTTCAAGTAAAAAATTCACAGTAACTGGAACAACAAGTTTAAAAGAGTCCAAGAAAATAGCTGATGATATTGTTGGTGAAGGAAAAATTATCAAGAGAAAAATTTTAAATATAACAGGATCAAGTACAATTGGATTTGATTTTGACTTTAACAAGATTTTTTACAATAAACGTTTCTCCTGGGAACCAGAACTATTTCCAGGTATATATTGGAGAAAAAGTGGAAAAGGACCAGTTGTTATATTTTTCAGGTCGAAAAAAGTTATAATCACTGGTGTTAAAAAACTCAAGGATCTTGACGCTTTATACAAAGATTTTTTAGACGATTTAAAATGAAAGTGATTAAACATCCAAATCGTGAAGAGTTTGTTTTTGTAAGAGTAAACGAAACATTCGGAGATTTTCGTAATACTTTGAGAAATGTTTTAAGAAAATGTGTAACCAATTTTATAATAATTCATTTGGAAAATTTTGATCAGAATATAATGTACCATCTCAAATGTAAGAGTGATCAATTTAAAAGAAATTTTGTAACTGTTAAATTTCTTATTGTTCCAATAAACTTTTTTACAATTTAACGTAATTGAATAACTGATTCGGGAATAATTATCTGTTCACAAATCAATTGAGCGATTCGAGATCCGTGATTTATCCGGTAATAATCATTACTAAAGTTGAAAATTACAACACTGACATTTTCTCGGTAATCAGAATCAATGATAGTGGTACCAACAGCAATTGACCGATTATATGACAATCCAGGTCTTTGAGTAATTCGTCCATAGCATCCCGTTGGTAGTTCAATCTGTAAATCTGTAGGAACGACAACTTTATCTCGAGGTTTTATCATACATGATTTAGCAGCGTGAAGAATGAGACCAATATCTTGTAATGAATCTCTCCTTGGGATAATGGCTTTGTCTGAAAGTAATTTGATCTTGATCATCTTCAATATAAAGTTGATGAAAATAAATTAATAAACAACAAAATGTATTCCGTTTATTTGAAACATCCCTTTACGATGGTCATTTCAGGACCAACGGAAGTGGAAAACAATGGGTCAAAAATGATAAATTCTTCTAAAACAACGAGTAATCCACCACCTAAAAATATACTACTTTTATGGAGAATACCAAGCAGTTTTTCAGAGTTGGAAATGTCAATTTATTCAAGGTTTACCTGAGGATCATATAAGTAAATTGGGAGGAACAAATGAACCATCTTGGATAATTATAGATGATTTAATGAATGAGTCAACAAACAGTCAATTGATTGCAAATTTATTTACCAAAGAAGTCATCATCGTAATTTATCAGTAATTTTACTTGTTCAAAACTTTTTAAGCAAAAGAAATGAGAAATAACATTGAATTCACATTATATTGTCATGTTTAAAAATCCAGAGATAAAAGCTTAGCAAGTAATATTGGACGTCAAATGTATCCAAATAAGACTAAATTATTTCAAAAGATATTCAACGATGCAACGATTGCTCCATATTCATATTTATTTGTCGATTGTAAACCAGATACACCAGAGGAAATACGATTAATGTCCAACATTTGGACTTCACCAATAACTGTTTATTCTATATAAAGTATTTTTGATTGATTTGTCAAATAAAAATGGGTCTAAAAGGATGTATCGAATGTTTACCATTACTTGAAAAACTGTTACAACTCCGAAATATTCCAGACTTTGAAAAACTATTATTAAAGTGTTCAAAAAGATTAATTTATACAATTTGTGAAATTATTCGTAACATTTTACTTGGTAATATCCCAATTAAACCTAAACATCGACATAAACTGAACCAATATAAAGATTCATTACGTGAACTTAGTAAAAAGTCAACCACACTGAAAAGACGAAGATTATTATTATCCAAAACTAGTGGTAAATTGTATACAACTTTGAATCCAGCATTATCGTTTTTAACACCTAAAAATGAACGCGTTAACAAAAATGGTTCTAATACCAGAAAATGAGTATCTACAATTAAAATCTAAAAAAACTGATGCAATTACAATTGCGTTGAAACAACCATCTTCCAATTTAGTGAAACAAGCTTCATTGTCAAAGATTCTCAATAAACCAAGTGAAAATGTGATCGATTTAATCAATTCAAATCATCCGACAATTGTTAAAAAAGAAGAACCTGAAGAAGAATTTGAAGATGCATTGGAATCACAACCTGAACCATCAATACGTCAAGAGTTGAAAGATATTATCAATGATAAAGGTCAAATTTTAGATAAAAAAGAACCTATCCTGAAAGCAATATAAATGATTTACTTCAATATTTCAACAACTCTGAACAACGAAAGAGACGTAAACCACTTGGATATAAAGAAGTGATAAACGAAATAACAACAAAGAAGGCTAAAGTCGATATAAAGAATAAAGAGGTTAATAGACATTTAAAAGTTACAAAAGGTGGTGGAAAATTACATGGAGCGAATTGAAAAAGTTTTAAGTGAAATTTATTATGATCCAGTTCATCCAGCGTCTTTTGGGGGTGGTTACAAACTTTACTATGAAGCTAAGAAGATTTTGCCTGAATTATCAATTGCTAATGTCAAAAATTGGCTTAAAAAACAAAATACATATTCTCTTTTCAAACAAATAAAAACAAAATTTAAAAGATTACCAATTTTAGCTGTTCACATTGATCATCAATGGCAAGCTGATTTATTAGACATGACTTGGTTTGCTAAATATAATGATGGATATCGTTATATTCTAGTTGTTGTTGATGTGTTGAGTAGATATGCATGGGCTATTCCACAGAAAGATAAATCTGGAAAACAACTTCGGATGCAATGGAATCAATTTTCGATAGTGGTAGAGTCCCAAAGAAAATTCAAACAGATCAAGGAAAAGAATTTAAAAATAAAATTTTTAAAGATTTAATGGATAAATATGGAATCAACTTTTTTACAACGACTGAAGGTGTGATTAAATGTGCCATTGCTGAGCGGTTCAATAGGACATTAAGAAGTCGAATCTATCGATATTTATACCACAACAATACAAAGAGATTCATTAATGTTTTACCATCAATAATAACTGGATATAATCGATCTTATCATCGAAGTATAAAAATGACACCTCAAGAAGTTACTAAAGACAATGAAGCAACTGTAATTAAAAATCTAAAAGTGAAACCAGCTAAAAAGGTTGTTGATAAATTAGCAAACGAAGAATTTGTTCGAATGTCCCGTGAAAAGGGTGCATTTGAAAAAGGAACTACTGAAAATTTCAATGAAGAGATATTTAAAATTGTCCAAAGGAAAAAGACTCCACACAAGTATGTTTATCGCCTTAAAGATTTAGATAATGAACCAATTACATCTATATTTTACCCAGAAGAACTTGTTGCTGTTGATAACCCTGGTCAATATAAAGCCAGAGTTACTGAATATATCCAATCAAACGGAAGAAAAAAATATTTAATTCATTACATTGGATACCCTGAAAAGTACGACTTTTGGATAAATGGATAAATTGACGTTAATTTGTAATACAGACTCGTATAATGACTTTAGTTTTACTTTAGATGAAAGTATCAACTTGGATGAAAATTTCGACTATAATGTTCACGTATCATCATGTTCATATGGATCAAAATATAAACAAATGCAATCAATTGCATTCACTTTCGATGGTGATGATAAACTTACTTCAATACGATTTTTAGATGATCATGATCCAAAAAAGTTGGTGGATAATCTCAACAATGCAATCTACATCATGCTCGCTAAGCATAAAAACTCATGTATTACCCATTTTGGATATGACAATGGTTATCTTCAATGTGGTGTGATCAATCATACCAATGATATTACTGGAAAGTTTGTTGAAAGAGATTCACCTTTTCTACTTCTGAATTCTTTTCTAAGTGCTATTGGTTTCAATCTCTATGGATTAAATGAGTTCATCGCTAATGCAACATTTGAAGATAAATATTATACATTTGCACCGTATGAACTTGACCCCTCAGCTTTAATTCTTTATGCAGACATCGCCGCTAAACCTCTGTGTGTACTACCTAGTTCAAAAGATTATATACAATTTGATGGATCGTATAGTGTACCAGTAACTAAAAAATCATTCGGTACCATTATTTTCAAAGCGATAGGTTCTACATTTACAAGACTGAAAGATTTTCGACGAATGGATCTTGCGGTAACATTGATAATTACTAAACAATATAAACCCAAACAGACTCTTCAAAATACAGAGCTAAAAGTTGACTCAAAGTTGTTAGATGTTCTTCATATGATTGCTGAAAATGTAGGACAACCTAAACCAAAAGCTGATTATCAATTACTTCAGAATCTTCAAACAATTGCTGCAAATATATTGGAAATCAAACCAAAGACCAATTTTGAATTATTGGATATTCTAGGTAACATTAGTAAAATTCTATCACAAAATTCATCAAAGTCTGAAGTATTGGATGTCCTCAAAGCCATAAACCAAACAATCTTGGAAGCGAGACCTTTAGTATCAGTACTATCATCGAAAACAGCTCCAGATCAGACGGCTGTTGTGTCCCAACCTTTTAGAAAGAAACAAGAACCCCCCCGAGAACCAAAACCTAGTATCATATCATCATATAATCCAGCCGACGATGACTGAATTTACGATCGACTTGATTTCAAATGCATCAGTTCACATTCATCCGGAAAATAATCTAACTTCATTCACAAATGAATTATTGGTTCCTATTGAATTTGATCGAGAATATGAATGTGGTATAATAGAACTTTTCCATCCTGCGTTACTTTTTAGTAACCAAGAAAAGAAAACTTCATTTCAAGTACAAATAAATGCGGCTGCTATATTTGGAGACTTTGAATTGATTTATAAACATGAAGACACAATATCTGATATTTGTGACCAAATAAACAAAATAATCAAATCTAATCCGGAAATATCAACTATCGCACAAATGTTTGAAAAGACTACACTAGTACAATTACCTACAATTGGTTTAATTGATCATGAAAATAGTAAAAAAGTTAACATTACTCCAGGATTTATCAATTATGAGAGTGTCACTGGAACAAGAATGAGTGCATCAATGAATATTGTTTTCAAAGATCCCAATTTTCTTCGTTTACTTGGATTCGAACCCGCTGACTATTTTTTACAACCTATTGATAAGAGTACAATTATTGTAGCAAAATCTTTCTACGACAAAAGACATATAAATAACTTGATGTTTATTTATTGTGACATTGTAGCTGAGCATCATGTTGGTGATGCAATGGCCATTCACTTCGAGTCGTCGCTCTATGGAAAAAAAGAACCAAGAGTTTTGGACATACATTTATTAAACCAATTTACTTTCCAGTTCGACACCAAAGAATCTCCAATATATCTGTAATGTTACGAGACGAGACCGGAAGCCCAATAGCTTTCGATTATGGTACAGTTTATCTTTCATTACATTTTCGACCTCGAAAAAACTCTATATAAAGCCTGAGTTAATTTTAATAAAGTATAATCATGTCTTCAAAACGAAAATATTGTCCTAGTGATTGTAATTTACGTGCTTATTATATTAATCAAGCTGGTGGTGGGTTAAGTGATATAAAAATCTATCGTGGTTACCCTTATCAAGCTGGTGGACTTGGTTTTGGTACAATATTAGGTAGATTTGGGATTCCTTTACTCAAGTTTTTAGGTAAACATTTATTATCAACTGGGATGGCAGTAGGTGCCGATGTCTTAGCCAATCAAAATTTTAAAAGTTCTGTTAAAAATAGATTTAAAGAAGGATCAAAAACTGCCGCTAAAGAAGGTCTCGCGAAATTATCTAACGTTGTAGATCAAATTGGAACAGGAAGGCTATATAAAGCAAGAAAACGAAAGCGAAAAAACAAGTCAAAACCTCGAAAGAAAGTTAGAAAACCAATTAGAAGAAAAGTTAAACGAA